ACCTTAAACCGCATAAACATTTCATTACACCAAATACACAAAATAATTATCTTTTTAGCAGCATCATATGACCCCTTTAAGATCATAGTAAGCTATGGCAGTGATAAATACGTTATAGCCTATTCATTTTTCTCTAATCTAAGTTCTGCCTAACTTACCTAGACAGCATCATTCACGGCGAGAAACGCCTAACAGGTAATGTGCCTACGATGACCAAGCGTTGTCTAGGTAGGCATCTCTATAGGTTTTGAAACACGGTCGTAGTGTCCAATTGATTCAGGCGCTGCTAACTCAGATAAACTGCTGAAGAGTGCAGAAGTATTGCCACATAAAGCCCTTACAAACTTCAAACGTTATTCCTACTGCATAATAAACATTTGAAAGCGGATAAATCATTTCTGAATCGGTAGAACAGGTGACCGAGGCCTACAGCTGAGGCGATAGCATAGAGCTACCACACACCGTTTAAAAACCAATTACATTCACTTACCATTTAATGTTGGTGAGACATCGTGTTTGGGCACGTATAGCCCCCTGCGAGCTGTTAAACCGCGAACACCTCCTCTGCTGTGTCTGACAGATGCATGTATTTGCTGACGGACCGTCTGCTTCTTTGGTATTTACTGTCGTCTGAGTTTAACAACGGCTGTCATGCGCGTCACAAAAGCCCGGATGTTGTGAAAGCCCCTCCCCCAGAGGCCCTTCTGTGTGCGTGCAGATCAGTGGAAGACATGCGTCAGCTGCTGTTGTGTGCGGACACAGTTTGTTACATAATACATTTACCATGGTTCGTGTGAGGTTTGCATAACATAGTCATTTTAGAGTAAGCTATAGGCTATTTGGGGTTTACTACGAAAAATGTGTATTTTAAATGATAAACAACACACTTTTTGCAACAGGTGGCATTGAATTTATGCTGCGTCCCAGAGCCCCTCATCTATGTTCATTCTCAGTAAACAGTGCCGTTTTATTATTATTACTATTATTTTGGTCCCCAAGAGGAAACAAGGTTATAAATTATATATATTTTTTAAAACTAAAAATGCAAGTTTTGTGTGAGATGCAGAGTTAGGGTAAGGGGATAGAAAACACAGTTTGTACAGTATAAATGTGTGTGTGTGTGTGTGTGTGTGTGTGTGTGTGTGT